TATGTTGTGTAACAATTTTCTAAAGACATAATTCTAACTAGCCCTACAGGTTGATGTGATCAATTTAATTTGGATTACGGGGTTGTGAAGATTGTTAAGTTACACATTTTTCGAAACCATGAATCGATCAATGTTAGACCACTCCATTAGAAACCTGTAAGCACTGAAAGACGGCCGTTTCGTCCTGGTATGGGACTCATCAGTGGCAGTACGCATCTACGACTCCTGCACACGCAGGATTCGAATCCGTGAATTGATCAAGTTAGACATTAACACCGTTAGATACCGGCTCACTGGTCCGATGGTTAGGTGTTTGCGCACAATACCGAAGGTCCCGGGTTCTAATCCTGTGGGGTGCAGGAATCGTGTATGCGCACTGCTGAGGAGTCCCATACCAGGACGTAACGGCCGTCCAGTGCTTCCAGATTTCTAATGGTGGTCTAACATTGATCGATTCATGGTTTCGAAAAATCAATTTAATTGTCATGTTTCTCATTTAGATCATACTTAGCATTCTTCTTTTAAGTGTTATATCTTATGTAATGAATGAAAAGGATTTGTAGAGATTGTAATAAATTGTATAGTTGAAATATTCTAAATTATTTCGACACTAGAAATATGGAAATATTGGACAGTCGTTTAGTCCTCCTTGTTTGGGACTCATCAGCAGTGGGCATCCACGACCTTTTCGCACACACACACACGAGAATCAAACACAACACCTCCGATCAAGTTGTAAATTGGTTAAGATTTGAAAATCTTATCCATACTTGTTATTTCATTCAGAAATACTAGTGTCTGAGTTTTGAGTGCTTACGTAATTAATTATTGACTGAACGCTGTGATTTTAGTCCGTTCATGTAAATTGAGTAGAATGATTTTCGAGAACATTATTATTTCAAGGCATTTTATAAATAGAAAAATTTTACGCATGCACGTGAACACGTCATTTGAGATATACTTGAACTATTACGAGTTTAACTTAGTCGAAAAATGAGAGTGAGGATCAAGGATCTGGCGACACGACATGCTACTCTAATCCGAGTGTTCCAAACCTCCATTGGGTAAAAGAAGAAGACGTGATATGAAGTAGAACATGTATTCTACAAGCATCCAGAAAGTATGAGGTCCGAGTCCAGAAGGGAATCAGTGTCTCGGACTAGGGATCCAAGACCGGGTCATAAAACGTTACAGATAATGCATATTTATACAGTTAGGTTGAATAGGAAACAACATCGAAGTCTGTGATATTGACAGTTAGTACGATCAATAGGAATCGAGCAATAGAGTTAGACTTACAAACAATTATCTGAGGAATTTATTGGATGAATATCCTAACAAAATGTTCCACGTCAGGGATTTTAAATGTTTTAATTATTTACGTGTTCAATGTTCATAAGTTTCATGAAACTTTCTGTTTAAACTGATATTTCAAAAATAATATCATTGTGTAGGTAACTGCATACACCTGAATGGTTTGAACTCCACCAGTAACAGCTTTTCACAAGAACTGTGAGAATTTCCTCACATAATTGGTCACTGATAATAGACAGTAACCCCTTTAGGTTTCGGTTCCTTGGTCTTGAGGTTAAGAGTTCATGAGCGAGGCCAAAGATTCTTAATTCAACTTTTTCTTGTAGGGTCATGGATACACACTGATGATAAGTTCCATGCTCGGACGAAACAACTATCTACTACTTCCAGATTTCTAATGGTACTTACTTACTTACTTACGCCTGTTACCCCACATGGAGCATAGGACACCCACCAAGTTTCTCCAACCAAATCTGTCCTGAGCTTCTATTTCAAGTTCTGTCCAATGTTTGTTCAGTCTTCTCATATCTTTCTCTATTTCTCGGCGAAATGTGTTTCTTGGACTTCCTCTTTTCCTTTTGCATTGAGGGTTCCATGTGAGGGATTGTCTTGTGATGCAGTTCGGTGCTTTTCATAATGTGTGTCCTATCCACTTCCACCACGTCTTCCTTATTTCCTCCTCCACTGAAGGAATCTGGTTTGTTCTCTCCCACAGTAGGCGGTTGTTGCTGATGGTGTCTGGCCAACGAATCTGAAGTATTTTGCGTAGACAACTGTTCATAAACACTTGTATCTTCTGAATGATGTCTTTGGTAGTTCTCCAAGTTTCCGTCTCATACATTAGAACTGTCTTGATATTTGTAGTCTAACAATAATTGATTCATGATTTCAAATGTTAAGTTAACTGATCTACCAAAGAAAAGGTTTATTCTACAGCACAATTTTTAACTATTTAAGGTCACAAAAATAAAGTTATTTAACATTGACATTTGTTAATGTAGGCGAATGTAGTAAATACCGAGGTCGAATGAGATTTATAATGACATAAATTACTAACGATCATTTTACTTAATTATTTATTGACTTACGTAATTACTTAATTACTTACTTATGCACTTAATTAATTACTTCCTTACCTACTTACTTACCTCCATAACTACCTACGTTTTACGTATTCAATGACTTAGTTACCTAAATAATTAATTACATATTTACTTACTCCTTTACGTAATTTGGCACTTTCTTATGCACGTACGTAGTAAGTTTCTGCAACATATACTCGGTTAATTCATTACTCACTTAGTTACTTCTGCAATCATTCACTCACCGAATTACTTACCTAAGTATTTACTTAATTTCCTATTTACTAAATTACCTACTTACTTCATTACTTAAGCACTTACTTACTTACTTACTTACTTATATACTTATGGACTTACATCGTTACTGACTTACTTATGCATTTACTTACTTACTTACTTACTTATTTACTTACTTACTTACTTACTTATCTAATAAATTACTTACTTATATACTTACCTCATTACTTAGTGTCCTACTTACCTGCTTTCCTACTTTTTCACCTACTTGCTAACTTACTTTCGGACTTGCTTATTTACTGACTTACTTTCTTGGTTTCCTACTTACTCAATTACTCAACTTCTTACTCTTTTACTTACCTACTTTCCAACTTTCGTACTTTTTGACTTACTTACTTACTCACTTACCTATTCACTTATCTACTCACTTACTCAGTTTCTTACCTAATTATTTACTTACGCATATTCCCTCTCAACTGAGTATAGGCTTCCGTCCAGCTTTCTCCAACCTACTCTTTTCTAGGCATTCCTGTCTAATTCTGTATAATTTTTGTTCATTCTTCTCATATCTGTCTGCAATACTCGGCCATGTGTGTTCTTGCGTCCTCCTCTTTTCCTTTTGCCTTGAGGGTTCCATGTTAGGGCTTATCTCGTGACGCAGGTAGGTGATTTTTGGATTGTGTGTCCTATCCACTTCGCTTCTTCCTGATTTCCACCTCCACTGGAATCTGGTTTATTCTCTCCCACAGTAGGTTGTTACTGATAGTGTCTGACCAACGGATCCAAAATATTTTCTAATCTGATTATGATTAACGAATTCTTTGTGGATAATTTTGAAAATATTTTTAACACACCAAAATGCACATTTCATCATGAGACGTCATAACTTGTCTAAATGAAGACTTTCCAACTACCAGGTCAGTGTTTAAACTGTTTGAATTATTTTTCCTGGTCAACATTTTTAAGCGAGTTAATTTTTTTTACAGGATGGGATAACTTGACCCATGCACAGCCGTCTCCCTCTGTCTGGGCTTTGGACTGGCAGTAACTTGCATCGGCTCAGGTGCATCCTTTGTTTGTCTTCTCTAAACTTATACTCTTCTGAATTCCTCATCCTCTCCATCTTTCCCTTTTTACATTTATTTCACTGAATTAGACTTCTTGAATAAAATCTTCGATCCCTAATCTTCTGCATTACGGCTAACTTCTCATATATATCAACCTCTATAAGGTTTGAATGGACGAATCCATCTATCTGTGCTAATGTGGTATAGCAACTTCAACTGATGTATATACGTACGTACGTACGAAGTTCTACGATGGTCAGCTGACTTACTGACAACTCACTATGTTTTAATTAGCACAAATCATCACAACAAATAACCAACTTATTTTCAAGAAAATGTCTAACTAATTTACTATAGTACTGAAATTATGAATCAGTCATCGTTAGCTAACTATTAGAAACTTGGAAGCACTGCATGGTCGTTTCGTCCTGGTATGGTACTCATCAGCAGTAAGCATCCACGGATCCTTCTATTCACAGGATTATAATGGTTGTCTGACAATGATCGATTCATGATTTCAATGGTAAACAACAATCTCCATAACTCAGTGGTGAAAATTCGTACAATGTGCTCGGTATTGACTAGCCTCGTGAAGAAATTCTCGGAGTTCTAATGAGAAGAGGTGACCAGTGAATTTCAATGCGTGTCGGGTAGAAGGCGATTATCCACCAAAGATACCCGAATGAAGTTTGCACAGCATCATGGATTAAATGAAGTTAGACATATTAACACCAGTGGATGCTAATTCACTGGTCCAGAAGTACTGAGTTCGATATTCGCCTGTGATGTCGAGAGTACACATTATTGACGAGTGTCTTACTAGGACGAAACGACCATTCAGTACACCGGGATTTCTAATGGTGATATAGTTAAAACCACTATGAAAGTCATTATTCTCACTAATATCTATTTTATTGATAGAGTCAGTCAGTTGCAACGTAGAACTTCGTACGTATGTACATAAGTTCATGTTGCCATACCACATTATTAGCACAGAGATGCAAATGTCAAATCAAATCCCATAGTGATAGAGATAGTAAACCTATTAATGGTAATGAAGAAGACTAGGGTTTGAAGATATTATTATTCAAGAAGTATAATTCAGTGAAACAAGGTTAGAAAGACAAAGGTAGAGGTGCTGACGAATCCAGAACATTAGGATTTGAGAGAACACAAAGAGTGTGTGCACCTGCGCCATTGCAAACGATTTTGAGCCATGTTGTTCAAGGTCTCTAACCATTGGTGACGCTTAGAAATTTATTAAATCAATAAAAGTCGTCAATCAACAAGCAGCACCTTCACTTATTGAAAACATCAACTGAAATTGTGTGTGTACGGTGTAGTAGTTCTGTTTTTCGTGAGAAGATAATGAAAAAGTCACAAATATCAATCTTATCATCACATTCCATGATAATGAGAATACATTTTTTCATCAAATATATATTCAAAATGAGATGGAATCAAAAGAAAAGCAGAAAACAGAAATTAAAACACTTAAAAAAATATTGATCATTGAATTCGGGTCAAACAAACAATGGTAGATTGAAAGCCAAAAACCCACACACACTTACGTTCAATGTTCAACTCATTTTTATTAGTTAGTACGATTACTCTATCATAAACAGTAGTAATAGTAGTACTAATAAGCATGAGAGAAATAACAAAGCATTAAAATCACATTGATCGTGTTTGATTTCGGTCAATAAAAACAAAAACACACCTTCAATGTTCAATTCACTGTTATTCTTATTAATGATACTACTATTACCCAGTATTAGTAGTAGTAGTAGTAATAAGGATATCAGTAGTATTAGCTTAGTAATCATTACTATTCAACATAATCTGTATTATTAAGCAATTGTGTATATTCAATATTATCAAATGAAGAATGCCCGATATTCGATTTGTTCAACACCGGTCGATCATATTTATGCGATGCCACCGTTGTTCGTCTTATAGTCGATGAATCCATCGCACTATTCATCCAATCCGGTGAAACACCATAATATTTAGCTACTAAAATCAGCAATCCAAATAATACAATCATATTGAAAAACATATGCCATACAAAAATGATCACAGTATACATAACAGCAGCATGATCATCTTCCTTCCATAATTTTTCAACAGGAGTAAATGGTGAGTTCAATAAATAACCGACTTGACAAATCCATGTTGCATGTAACTGAACACTGAAACATTTAATACATGTCCAAATCAAAGATTGATTGAATAACATTTCACACAGTATCGATAATCCAGTAATCACAGCCCAATAACTAATCAACAGTCGACATGTTTCTGTCAATGGTGGTTGATCATACGATTGAGCACGTAAACAATAACCATGGATAAAAAATGGTAAAGCATGCATAATGTAATCAAATCCTTTTGGTGGTGCAATAATAATTGTTCCAATGCATAGATCTAATAAGGCAGCTGTTAAAAATGCTGTATAAAATGGAAATTGAGCATATTCATGATGACGACCATATTTTAATGTGAACCATTCTACGATGAGACCAATAATACAACAGATTAATTTAACAAAACCTTCATGAATATGTATACGTTTATAATGACATAATCCATAAGAGATTGATGCAGTGTATTTCTCGTTGATCGGATTTTTTGCCAACTTGGAATAACATTGTTTTAATGCTTGAATCCACCACCATAGGGCTAAACACAATAAATAACTACCTAAATAGTTATAACTAAGAAATAAGCCTTCATTTCCAATTGGTCCTGATGGATTTGCGGGATTTGCACTGACATGTTGATGTTCATGTTGATGAGGATGATGATGCTCGTGTTCCATAGTTGTTGACTAGTTGACTAGTAAAACTAGTTTTAACTGTACAATTTTATTGTACATTGAACCAGTTATTTGGTTGGTTCATTAAAAGAATGAAACTGTCTTTTTAAAACAATTTTAATCAATACATTCTTATGTAGATTTTAACCAATCCGATTAAGGTTATATTTTCATGCTATTCAACAAACACTATGGTAACCGGAGTTGAGTTGACACCCACATGACACCCACACATACAAAATCGTCTCATTGATTCATTCTTATGTAGAGGTCATATATGATTTTCAATTAAAAAAATTAACTGATTATCAAATGTAATTACTGTTCAAATGAGATACTACTGTGATGTGTGCTACTTATACGAACGATATAAATAGTAGTATAAGATGGGAAGTGAAAGAGGAAGTCTCACGGTCAGAAGAGGAAAACGGAAATCAAATGGAGCAAAAGCTAGAAGTAAATGGAGTAGTACCAACAGGAAGGAAAGGAAGCAACAACAGGAATGGAAGAAGAAGGATGGAGTGTTGGAAGTCACAACTCAAAGATGATGTGCAAATAGAGTGTATTCAATGTAATGTTTTCGTTTTTCGTCTTATTGGGCAATTCCTCTTCCAATGTCCGGTTCCTCCGCATATACAGCGTTCATTATTTCTTCCACCCTTTATTCGTAACGCTGCCACCACGCGTTGTAATTCTTCTATCTTCTTTGCGACATCATCCGCCTGTCTCTCACACGCCACCGAGGCGACTGTTGAGTTCATCAATTGTCTTGTTACTTTAACCAGCTCGGTGACGTCCATTGGTTGGGCCGCGTCTCAACTGTTGGGCAACCTCTGCAGGCACACTTTCAATGAATTGCGACGCTAGCAGCTATGCTTGCGACTCCTCATCCAAATTCGGCAGACCCTGGCGCAGCAATCTTCTCAACTCCACAGCCACCACGAGTGGGTCGCCATCCACCGTCAGTCTCGCCTGTCGGAACTTCTGCAGCGCGTCCTGCCTATCCGCCTGGCTGTCGAACTCCACCAGCAGCCTTTATGTCACCACCTCCCAGTCAGCGTCCTCCACATTATTGTACACCGCTCTCGCTCTGCCTCTTAGTAGAGTCCACAACACCACCGCCTTCGCCCTCTGCTTTTTGACTCCTACCAGTTCCGCCACGGCCTCGAACTCCTTCAAGAAGCTCCTTTCATCTCCGTCTTCAAACTCCCGAGGCCATGGGATCTTTATCCTGTGTAGAGGCAGAGACACCAATTGAGAAGACTGAGACAGGCGAGGAAGATTGTATTATGCAAATTTACACTCTTAGTCAATTAAAAACGAAAACATTACATTGAATACACTCTATTTGCACATCATCTTTGAGTCGTGACTTCCAACACTCCATCCTTCTTCTTCCATTCCTGTTGTTGCTTCCTTTCCTTCCTGTTGGTACTCCATTTGCTTTCCGTTTTCCTCTTCTGACCGTGAGACTTCTTCTTTCACGACCCTTCTTATACTACTACTTATATTGTTCGTATAAGTAGCACACACCACACTACTACATTTAACAATCATTTGTTTTTGAACTAATTTTAACCAAATAAATTTTTATAGTACATAATTTTTCATTGTAATGTTATGTGGAGATCGAGACGACCTAGACAAACCGCCCTCCGACAGGTCATCCATTTTGGCACCGTGTTTATCGTGGACCCCCGATCAACATGAGAACCTGCATGCCAGAACTCCTGGTCCCGCGAAATATCGCACCCTTGCCTCCAAGTAGATAGATTACACCACGCCTAGCAAAAGCCCTATGATGGAGGTGGGATTCGAACCTGCACCCTTTCGGACTGGTGGAGATCGATGTGTATTACTAAAATTATGAATTAGTGATTGACAGATAACCAGTAGAAGCTAGAAAGCTCAAGATGGCCGTTCCCCTCTAGTATACGACTCATCAACATTGCGCATTCACAACTCCTGCTACGTGCACAGGATTCGAACTGAGAACCTGCAGTCTCATAGGCGAACGGGTTGGTACCTAACGGTGTTAATGTGTAACTTTGACCAATCTTGGCATTTTGTGCAACCTCAACTATTGGTTTTCGGTAGTTGCTGCCTACACTTAACACGGTTGAACTCCACTGGTTACATCTTCTCAATAGGACTTCTAGAATTTCCTCACGAAGATAATTGCAAGTCACCACATTGTAGGAATTTCCATTACAGAGCTACGGTGACTGTTCTTTATGATTTAAATCAGTAATCAATTATTGTTAGACCACCATTAGAATCCTGTGAATAGAAGGAGTCGTGGATGCGCACTACTGATGAGTGCCATACCAGGATGAAACAACCATCCAGTGCTTCCAGGTTCAGGATTTCAGTAGTATAGTAAATTAGTTAGACAATTTCTAAGAATACTTTGATACTATCTTACTTAAAATAAGTTGGTTATTTGCTGTAATGATCTGTGCTTACTAAAACACAGTGAGTTGTCAATCAGTCACTTAACCAACGTAGACCTTAGTACATACGTGTATCACAGTTCAAATTGCTATACCACATTAGCGCACAGAGAGAGGTGGAATTGTGAATTCATATTCCATAGTGGGAGATGTACTAGAAGTATTAATGGTAGTCAAAAAGATTAGGGATAGAAGATATGAATCGAGAAGTTGTGAACCAGTGAAATAAATGTAAAAAGAGAAAGATGAAGATGGTGAGGAACTCAAAAAAGTAGAATTTGAGAGAACACAAATAATGAATGCACCTGAGCCATGGGAAACGATTTGCGTGTCTCGATCACGTCTACCTGTAGCCCTTCTCAAGTTAATGTCGGTCCAAAGCCCAGATGAAGGAAAAGGTTTGGGCCAGGGGTTAGCGACCTCATCCCGTTGAAAGCCAATGGTTATACACGTATGGCCATATTCTAAGCGCCTAATCTGATCGTTGTACTGTACCGCAATATCTTTCTACGAATTTCTTCCGCTCAGTGAGACCTGTTGACCAAATTATTTAAGTTTTGGGGAAAATGGAGGAGATATTTCACTTAAAGAGTTGACGTTACGAAGAGGAAAATCTACTTTTCAACGTTATTTTGTCATTGTTGTTTAACTGAGTAGTTAGTTATAGAATTCTAATCATTAAAAGCGTTGTATTTGTAACGCTGACTTCATTTTCTTAATTCACAGGAATCAAACAACAGTCTATCATTCTTGGATATTCTAATCACCAGAAATGATATAGGGAAACTGGTTGACTCAAGTATTTCAGAAGCCAACCCATACAGACCTAATTCTCAACTAAGGTAGCAAAAACCCAAGAACTCACATAATCAACTGCATACAAACTTTGTTCAAGAGAGCGTAGACACACTGCAGCACATATGAAGCACTAAAAAACGAGGAAAAACACCTTGTGACTATCTTCCAAAAGAACTGCTATCCACGCAGCTGCATCAAAAAACATCAACAGAAGCGAAATCAAGCACAGGAACCAATCAGCGTATCATCCAACAATACATAAAAGACATATCGGAGCATAACAGCACAACTATTGAAACCATTTGGAAGAGGTGTGGCACACAAACCAACAACATCACTTCAATCAATCTTATGTATAGATGAGCCAAATATCATCTCCGAAATAAACTGCTCAGACTGCGAACAATATTACATCGAACAAAGTGGATGTCCTCTTCGGTTTAGTCTACCGAAACATTAATTAGCAGTCAAACGTCAAGACATTTCTTCCCTTATATCAATACATACGACCAACTATGGATATACGCTTGGTTGGAACATATGTTGAAATACTGGATAGGGGGCTCACAAAGACCATTGGAGAATTTTTAGAGGCTTAGGACTTAGGTGAATCAGCGAATCAACAAACACATCAACCTCGACCCGATTTATCAACCAATCGGAAAAATCATAGGTAACACATAAGATCAAGAAACAGATCAGAAGGGTGATACAGACAAAATGCGGATGCAAACAACGACAGGTTTAGGGTCAATAATAACTAATCGAGAACGAGAGGTTAACAGAACAAGCTACTGGATCATACGTGGAGAAATTCAAATACGTCACTTCACTTCTATCTGAAGTTTGTGCTGATGATGTGGTGTTCAGCAGAATAACAATGAAAGCTCCACAATCAAACCCCAGCCCCAGCTCAGAGAACAAAACTTCACCACATGTTTTCTATCTTATTCACAGATAACATTATTCTTATATCAGAATACAGTTCCATCCACCTAATAATTCCTAAAAACGGAACAAACTTCCATCACATGAGATTGTTAGGTACGCTTAAAACTATTACGGGTTCACCTTAGCCGATGAACTAGAACGAGACAATGAACCAGAGTCCAGGTAGGCTACCTTGATCCAAAAGTCTTCATATAGCGTAGAAAGTATATTCTACAAACACCCAGCAAGCACAATATACAATCAAACACATAAATCTCGTTTATTTATACATCATAGAAACATCGTTGGGACAGTCACAAAATAGCAAGCCAGAATAACACCGTAACCAATCCCAGCCAAGGCTTTTCCAGATAGGAAATGTGATCTCAAGGTCAACTGATCAGCTCATGCTCGGAAACGTGAAATCCAAAATCCAAGGCATTTATCAAGCGAGTTCTAGAGATCTAACACGTCCCCGACAGAGATATTGTAGTGAAGGAGAACACAGGTGAGGGTAACCGAATTGTATTTAACGAAAATCACAGAGTTACTCAGTAAAATCGGAAAACCATATCGTAAACGGTGGTTAATTTGCAAATCTTCAATCCATCATCAATCCATTGTCTGACATTTCTCTCACTATTCATGCGTTTCTTACAAATTCCATTGTGTTCCCACTCTTCCTCCCTTTCTTGATCTTCCCTCATCTTCTGCTGCCAGACATTACGTTTTCACTCGCGTCATATACTACTTATAAGTAGCGCGCAGCACAATATGACTTCAGATTTTATAGGCAGCATCATTACCGTCAATATTTCACGTACTCTTGATTGATGTTTTCCGGCAGGTAAGATACTCATGACTCTTTAATAATTCATTTCCATCGTCTCACATGTATTGGTGATCAACATCGACCT